AAAGAAATAGGGAACCAAAGGGGCCGGGCCGACCCGGTTAACTCGAACCGGGTCGAACCGACCCGAAATTTTTTTATTTTTAGATTTCTTTTTCTTGATTTCTTTGTTTTTTTAAAACAAGAAAAATATGTCTAATAGACTCCATTTATGCCAATGCACCTAATGTCTATATGCCATGTGATTTAATGAAAATATTTTTGCTCGGGGACAAAAATTAGGTGTCGGTGATTCGCAACAGGCCTACGGCCGGGGAGTGTTCGATGGCGGGGACGAAAGCACGTCAATGGTGGTATTCACGGCTAAGCTTGCTGGATGATAAAGAATCTCAATCTTAACCTGGACGATCACAATTTCCTCCCACACGATCATCAAGCTTCAAAGAAAACACTCCTTCCATCGCTTGAATAAAGTTTTCTCCTTTTGTCTTCTTTCTATGCCAGATGGCTGCAATGGTAAAGAGGTGTTGTAAAACGAACAAGTGGGGATACGTGGTGAGCGCTCAGTGTGGGAACGTGACTTCACGACAGCCGGCAGATAGTCTCTCCAGCGACGAGGGAACCAATGATATTAGACTTGACAAGGACAACGGCCACGGCAGGATGTTGGACGCTACCATGAGCTTGCCGGGAAGCTAGCAAGCGCAGCGAGACAGAACTGGAAAATCATCGGATTTCGCTGGAGAGTTGTTTGACGACTTGCTAGATGTTCTCCGGAAAACCTGCAAGAAAAGATACAAGCGCGACGGAATCGTTATGCAAGTACACAAGGTGTCGAGATCTTTGCTGGTTCAAGTGGTGTTGTAGCTGTCCAAAGTACAAGATCAGGAGGGGTCATCGAAACTGGACAGCACAAGGCGGCACTTCAACGGCGGGAGGAGCTTCGATCTGAGACGTGACAGGATCAGCTTGGAATTCGCCGTCTTTTGGTTTTGCACGATGGTGGTGCAATCATTCGATCGAGCCACACAAAGCCATCGCAAAGACAGATGAACAATAGACACGATGAGCGTATGATGAAAAGAGAGAACTTGTCTCTCTTTCTTTCGATCTCCAATGGAGGCGTCGAGACCGTCCCTCTTTTTCGTCTCTTGTGGCCGTTCCCTCTGCTCTCAATTGTGGCCGTGTATGTAAGTAGTGTGGCCTTCCCCCGGGAGTCTTGCACCGCCTCAATTCCTGCCGAGTCTTCGTCGGACTCTCACCAAGCCGAGGCGTTGGGTTTTCTGTTTTGCAGGATATTCGAGTCATGATCTGCGAGTTCCGCAAACCATTAGCCATAGAATTGAGCCGAGCACCATACACCACTGGTCATCCTCCGAGCCTCATCCGCAAGCTGTGATCCAATCCGATTCCAATAAGATTACACGCGTCCAAATTAGGTAATGATCTTATCCGATTTGATATAAATTGCTTAATTCGGATATATTTTGTTATCTAATTGTTTTGATTGAGATATTAGGCATTATCCAATTAGGGCTATTGATTGAGTCGATATAATTACTAATTTGATCCATCAAGATTTTGGATCATTTTTTTAATTAATTCGACTTAATATTTGGGTAATTGTTGTGCCTAAAAGATTGCGGTAATCTCTAATTTAATCCGCGAGATGATGGGTTATTTTTTAGATTATCGTAATCTTTGATTTGAGATTTTCGTAAATTACACATGCCGATTTGGTGAATATTATCTTGCAATGAGTGCTTATCCTTTGCTTGATTGTTTCCATAAAAGAAAATACCAAAAATATCTTAGAATAGATTATATTCTTCTCTTAGACTTAATCACTTGTTTAAATTAAGACATTTATTTATTTCGAATTTTAATAAAAATACCAAAAATATCATATGCATGTCATATAGTTTGCATGTTATGAAATCGCATGTCATGTAGATTAGACTTCATCTCAAGATAAAATAAAATTCCAAAAATATTTGATTATTTTGGAGTGACCAATTTATTTACTTTCTTGCAATTTGCTTGCTTTGTTATTTGAGTGTTAATTTCATTGATACCCATATGATCACCTCCTGCATGTTAGTGGATAAGTTAAAATCAATTCAATTAAGCTACCTGCAAAATATTTTTCTGAAAATAAAAAAGAAAAGGTACCGAAAGAGTGTTAGAGTAATTTAGCGTAACCAAGTCCCTGAACTCATAATCTCTTTTTCGTAGAAGTAAAGTAAATCTCTCAATACTTTACTTGGGTTTCTAACCGACCCACCAAAAAATAGATTAGTGACGACTCCAAACTAAAATGATTTGCATGTTAATAAATTGAACCATAAGTCGCGAATTGGTATAAGCTTGAGAGAGCCAAGCTAGATTTAAACTTAGTAATCCATTAACCGAACCTTAGGTGGTGCCACCCTTCGAAGGGTCGCGACACCCCTCACATGATCATCTCTTCAAAAGTTGCCGCCGTCCACCCGCCCGGCCGCTGAGTAACGGTTAGCACCTGATCTCCATGGATGCGTGCAAAATTAGAAAACACAAATCATGGGTTGGGCCAAATAAGCTGCCGACGGAATGGTTAAGAACAGCTGCTCTTGAGGAAAGCGATAGCAGGTGATACGAAAGGAATCGATTTCGCGTTTCGAAAGTAACGTTGTTTTAGAATTCGGAGTTTGAAGACTATAATGTCGAAATTGGACGCTGACTAAATGCGCGTTTTCAGGAGGAAGCAGTCCCGGAGAGATGGTCGTGAGCCAGATTGAAGCTTATGGAAGTACACACCCAGGCGTGACTGTTCATGCTATACCGGTTGTTCCTCATATATGTTGGTGTTTTAGAGAAAAATACTTCGCCTTCTTTTCTCTCCATGGTTAATTAGGGTTTTCCACATACTTCTGTTCTTGGAGCTCGAAAAATTTCCTTGAATCCAACTGCCAACGACGAAAAAATTTAGATCGATTGTTTGTTGAATCGATAACCCTGTGCCTTTTCGCCAAATCTCTGAGACGTACTCAAAGAGCTCAACCTACTAACTAAAATGACATAATTTACCGTGACTTTCTGAATAAATACCGGTGAAGATCGATAAGCTACTAAAAACCTCTAAAAATATTTATTTCATGCTCCTGAAGTACAACATTATCCCACCATGCAAGCCAATTGCCGTGTGCGAAGTCTTTTCTATCCCAGTGAAAATACGGTATTCACAAAAATTTGTCTATTTCAATTTGGCTTGTAACGCTGGGAACGGCATGTTCCGAAAGTACCTAAAAGTCAGATAACAAGAAAGTGAAAGCTTGACAAATCCACTATCCCATTGTACTGATTGTAATACCAGAGAAAAAGCATTAGTAATTTGTTGCTAATCTCCTGGAAAGGTGCATTATCATATCTAATGATCTCTCTAGATAAAGACTTTTGATCTTTAGTTTCATCACAAATATGAATGTCATTTTCAGGTCCCATCATGGATTGAGGTTACTAGAAGACAGAATTTGAATTTACCAAACTAATTCTATTTAATCCTTTGAGAATATGGTGCACTTGTGAGTTAAGGGTCTGTTTAGTAATGTTTCTGTTACTAAAAATAATTTTTATTCAGAAATAATTTTTTCTATTTTTATTCCCTAGATGAGTTTCTAAGTAAAAAAACACATTTAGTAACTGTACAAAATTTCTATTCCTGAAGTAGAAAAAGAACAAAAATGCGTTTGGTAGGACATTAAAAATTTCTACTCCAAATTTTTTCATTTAATTATACAATTATCGGTGGAGACTTAACAATTCATGTTTGGATAAAATTGGACTAGAAATAGAATAAAAATATAATATGATATAGAATTTGATGACCTTAATACAATCATAAAGAAAATTACTCCTTATAGACAAATCAAATATCGAGTGGTGGTCAAGGAAATTGCGGTTTAGGGTGTAGGATTTTAGGATTTTAGGATTTGGGGTTAGGGTTTTAGGATTTCGATTTTGAAGTTTTGGGTTTTGGGTTTTGGGTTTTAGATTTGGATTTTATGATTTAGGGTTTGAGGTTTAGGTTTTAGAGTTTCGGGTTTGGGGTTTTATGTTTAGCATTTCGGGTTTCGGGTTTCGGATTTTAGGGTTTGGGTTTTGGGTATTGGGTATAGGGTTTAGGGTTTACAGTTTAGGGTTTGGGGTTTAGGATTTAGAGTTCGGGGTTTTGTAGTTTTAGGATTTAGGGTTTTGAATTACGATTTTAAGGTTTAGATTTTAGGGTTTCGGGTTTGGAGTTTTAGGTTTAGGGTATAGTGTTTCGGGTTTTGGGTTTGGGATTTTAAGGTTTGTGTTTTTGGGTTTAGGATTTGGGGTTTAGAAGGTTTAGGGTTTGGGTTTTTGGGTTTGAGGTTTTAGAGTTTAGGATTTCGGGTTTTTCATTTTAGTGTTATGGGTCTTAGGATTTGGGTATTGAGATTTAAGGTTTTGGGGTTTGAGAGTTAAGGTTTAGGATTTTTGGGTTTAGGGTTTAAGGGTTTAGGATTTGAGGTTTTAGGATTTAGTATGAGAATATCTTGTGAAAGAGGGAGAGTTGATCTTGTTTCTCTATTGTTTCTTTTTTTGTTCCAGAAATAGAAACGTATATTTTTTTTACTTCTTATTTCTATTCCAAATCTATTCCCCAACCACTTTTCTGTTCCGGAAAACAAAAAAACTAACTGACATTACTAAACGGATTTCTGTTCTTTTTCTGTTCCGGGGAACAAAAGAACAGAAAAATAGAGAAACAGAAATGTTACTAAACAGGCCCTAAGATGCTGAAGAAGCGATTGACGGTTGGTAGATCAACACTTCTCTTTCTGTCACTAGAATTCTTCCAATCTTGACTTGCAATGAACAAATAAATGGTAAATGATTGAAGATTCTTTAACCAAAGTGTGTCAATGGTTTGGTGGGACGTTGAAGAAGTAGGTAACTGTGATGTTTGTGATTGATCAATCACACCTGCAAAGAGGCAAGCCAAGCTTTCTCTCCTATTGGAGCTTATGCATCTAGTTTTCACTATATAAGCATGGCCATGTAGTTTGTTCATCAACCTGTATTTCTAAACCCGCTCTATACTTTGTGTGTTCATCTTCCTCGCACTATATCCGGTGTCTCGCTGCTCATAGCAGATTAATGGCTTCGCTGATACCCTCTCTCACACTAAGTTTACTCATTCTATTACTAAATTTTGGACTGATACAGTCACTCCAATGTTTGTCACAGAAATTCAGTAGGAACCGATACTACCAGCATTGTACCGATCTCCCGCATTTAAGCTCTTACTTACATTGGAGCTACAACCCTGCTGAATCTTCTATCGAAATCGCATTCTTGGCTCCACCAGCAAGACCCGACGGATGGGTCGGGTGGGGCATAAATCCTAATGGAAGCGGAATGATCGGCACCCAAGCTTTGATTGCTCACAAGGAAGCGAATGGGTCTATGGCTGCGAGGACTTTCGAGTTGGTTTCGTACAAGAAGGTTGAGGAAGGTGAGATTGCATACAAGGTCTTGAAGGCAGAAGCCGAGTATAAAAATAGGGTGGTCACAATGTTCGCGACGGTCGGGCTTCCGAAGGAGACAAAGGTCTTGAATGTGGTTTGGCAGGTCGGGAGCTCGGTGGTTGACGGAGTGCCGGCAATGCATGAGCTCGGCGCTGCGAACTTGAACTCTAGGGGCAAGCTTGATTTGCCGCAAGGGCAGAGCAGTAGCAACAGTGGAAAGAACTCTCATCTTCAACGTAAAAGGGTATGAATCTCTCTAAAGTTTACTCTTTTTCTTGTGTTTTATATTTCACATTGTCGGCGAATAAATTACACACAACATTATTGCATGACCTTGAAATTGGTATATGTGGTGATTGATTAGCAGATCCACGGACTCCTGAATGCGATCAGCTGGGGAATTCTGTTCCCAGTAGGCGCGGTCATCGCGAGATACTTAAGGCCTTTGAGGTTCGCCGATCCGTTCTGGTTCTATCTTCATGTCAGCTGTCAATTTTCTTCATACATCATCGGGGTGACCGGCTGGGCAATAGGCCTCGATCTCGGGGCCGAGTCTAAGGGCGTCGAGTACACTTCTCACCGGATAATCGGGATAATACTTTTCTGTCTCGCAACGTTGCAGGTACCACTTTGAATTTTGCTCTTCATAATATAGAGCCAATAACACCAGTTAGAGGTAATTTTGTCCTATGTCAAATGATGATGTGGTAATAAGTTTTCTTGGCGATGTTTCGGGGGCAGATGTTTGCCATTTTCGTCAGGCCAAGCAAGGATCACAAGTTCCGGGTCTACTGGAATGTATACCACCACGGGATCGGGTACACCGTCATCGTTCTCGGCATCATTAACGTGTTCAAAGGGTTGGAGATATTGGGCCCTGCCAAGGCATGGAAACTCGGTTACGTTCTCTTTCTCTCTGCGCTAGGCGCAACCGCCTTGTGCTTAGAAACCATCAGTTGGGCAATGGTCCTGAAGGAAAAATTTTGTAAATCCAAGAAACCATACGACGGGTTTGATCACAGCGAGAAGCAGCAGCCTCTGGCCTCCTAGGATGAGTTCCGAATTGAATCCGATCTTTTGCTAGTGTTTGTCTCCGTCGATTCATGTGAAAGGTCCCTTAGAAAAAATTGTTGACGCTTGCATAAATTCAACGTGGATGTAAGTACAAATGGGTGCAAATAGATGCTACATATTGCATAATTCTATCTATTGCAACTGCAAAGATATATGGATTTGAAGAGTGTATACTCGAAGAAAAGGCTTAAGCAGTGAGGGCTGTTGTTGCTGTTGAGTGATTTCAATCATTTGCTAGTCCAAGTTGATGTACATGAGGTTTCTTGAATAAATGAGATTATTACTTCATCGACTGAGTTCCTTCAGGGGTGAAACTCTCTCTTTTCAAGAATTTTTTTGCTAAAGCATCCTATACTAGAAAAAGGAAATGATTTTCTCTGCATGTTAGACGTGATCTATCTGTTACACACTTCTTAATTATCACACGAAACACGGGATGTGGATATTAACGCGTCAAAAAGATGACAGAAGACGGGAACGCACGAATAGGAAACGATGAACAAACACCACCACGATAAGAAGTGTCGATACTCAAACTTTCGATTCATATTGTCATAGCATGCCAGACAATATAACTTTTCAAGAAATTAAACTATTAAGAAATGGACCAGCGATGTGCACATTTCATACTTCTTCGCACTCCAAGTCGCGACACCCTAGCGGAGTTAGGATTTTATCAAACTGTCGAGAATGCCTAGACAGAATGAACGTTGGAAGAAGTAGATTCAAAGCAAAAGAGAAGGATGCCTTTACATAATGAGAGTTCCGTACATCATTCAATCAATCTTACCACACTAATGAAGACAATTTTTGCTATTGGTGAAGATGACAACTGCACAACTTGCGTCCATGTTAACTTGCTTATTCCTTAGTCAAGGACCTGAATTAATTAACTTTTAGGACAGAAACAGCGACTTCAACCGATGCTTCGCTTGTTGGGTTAAAAGACATCTCATCTACAATCAACCTAAGACCCGAGCATATATCATCATAATTGTTCTAGGATGTGTCTTTTGCATTCGGAAAATGACTCAACACTTGACGCTTGAATTGTGACGTTCCTGGATTAACTCACTCGTGGTATTATCCGCTTTAGCCGGTCCCATATCGAGCCTCACAGTTTTGCTCTTTTGCGTACAAGTGGACCCTTCCCAGGAGGCCATGTGCTCCCATTTGAGCACGCTCCAAAGTTTAGGATTGTCATTACATTAAAAGGCATCTCTGTAAGGTAATTTTAGTTTTCATATATATATATATATATATTTCAAAATCATTTTTTCTCTGTTCAATGCACAATTTGGTTTATTCCTATCCCCTTTCGACATCCTAGAGGCTCGCTAGGAGCCATTCCTTATCCAGACCTTCTAGCCCTGGCTATCACTCCCCACTCTTATCAGACGTGGTCATTACAGACCCTCCAGCTTCCGCGTGGTCTCACTCTGATATGATTAACTTACTCGAGTTATTGTCCATTTTGACCCGTTCCATATTGAGTAGCGTACAAATGAGCACCTTTCCAAAAAGTCACCAATTTTGGGAGTACTCCCATATGAACACGCTTAACTTTGGAGTTTTAAATCTAAACATTGTCGTTACATCAAAAGACACCTTTGTGAGTTAATTACAGTTTTTACGTATATATCTCAAAATCGCCTCCCCCTATTCAATGCACTATTCGGTTCATTCATTCCCCATTTACCATTCTAAAAGCTAAGAGCCGCTCCTTGTCCAGGTCCTCGACGACCGTTCCCCACCCTTGTTAAACCTAGTCGTTACATGAACTAAGACTAGACATAGTGAACGTAGCATTCAAAACAATGAAATTAGGTCGTTCGAATTACTTGTCGCGGGCATTTACAATTTCTTTCTCTCGATCCTTGATCATAGTTAAATAATTTCAGATTTTTCAGTCCTTTTTCTCACCAACCATTGTGGCTTTAGAACCTGCGCTCAAGGAGAATTAATTAGAATGGATACATGTTTTGATGGTCTTCCCAATTGCCGATCCCCACCACTTTAGACAATCTTAATAGGCTTCAATCTGATCTATTGAATTGGCGACACTTTGAACTAAGCCTTCACATCCCGAGTTCTATCCAACGGCGGACCAGCCTCGTGTCAGAATTTCTTCTATTCCTTCAATCATTAACTGAGAAAAGAAGTCGCCGGAGGTCCAACGACCCAGAGCAGACGGCCACCCATTGGCGGTAGAATTACGGTGCATAGTACCGCTCACAAGACATCGACGTACTACGAGTTCAAAATGTGGATGCAAGCCAACAGCAAAGCAATATCTCATATTACATAGCACAGCGAGGGAATACATGAATGAATTACCAACAGCTTTTAGTGTCATCCATAAGTAAACAAACCAAACAAGAACGTTGCCCCGTCATTTCTAGGGCATGAAAGTGTTGCGGCGAAGTCTCAATCAGATGAGTTCCGATGTTTCTCGGGTTTTCGCATTTCACGAGTGCGGCAAGTCTTGTGCAAGACGATGAAAACACAGGAAAGGTGTAACATCATGATCCAAAGCAGAGTGAATGTCACCAATTATACGAAGTCGATTAAAGATTACAACACGCCAGTGGATATGAAAACAACTGCAGTCCTTCATCACAGCTTATAACAGGAAGGTGAAAAAATCAGCAATGGCACTAGAGGGAGACCAACAAGAGGAGATAAAACTGACTTCACTGCCCAACTATCTTTCTACATTGCCATTTTTTTTTCGGAACTATTTATCTACATCTCAGTCTCAAACAAGGAGAAAGGTAACTATATCTATGTCTAACAAAGGAAAACCAAAAGACATGTTTTGCTCAAATCAGTATAGGAGAAAATTTGGTAAACTATAGTATAGAATCACTTTAACACAAACTCACCGATTTGATGATTGAGAGGGTAAGTGCGAGGTATTTAGTCATACCAATGCCTTGAAATAGCGGGACAAGGTCTAGACTGAACAGCATGAGTACTTGCTCCATGCTTTTCTCGAGCTGTTCCCATCCACAAGGCTTACCCCATTTGACTCCAAATTGACTTTGTAAGAATCGGAGCTCAACACTTTTCTGCTGACGTTGTCGTAGATTTCCCGGATAACGATCTCGAAAGCTTTGTGGACGTTCGTGGAATCGAAAGCAGACGTCTCGATGAAAAAGAGACCTTCCGCCTCTGCCAAGTTCTTGCCTTCTTCCACGCTCACGTCCCTGATGTCCTCCAAATCGCGTTTGTTCCCCACCAACATCTTCACCACAGTTGTATCCGAATGAGCTGCAAGTTTGTGCAGAAGTATCAATATCTGAACCAAGCAATCTTAAGGAAAGAACTATGCTAATTAGGCAGCACGACCTACAATCCTATATCAACTGCCAACATGAGTTTAGGAGGAAGGTGATTAATTTCGTTCTAAACATCAAGTAAAATGTGTTGTGACTATAGAGATAAGAAATTTTCCTAAAAATGTATCGTGTAATCAAAATTCAAGATAGAAGTCCCCCGGTTGTTCCCAATTACCCAATTAGGACTAAAACTGTGACTTCTTGTCAAAATGGATATTTGCGACTAGGTTCGTAACGGCCAAATAGGCAGTCACGATGCCCTATTCTCTTGAGCCATGTCCAACCTCGTTCATGCCATCAACAATGCCCCGCCATAAAAGGGGAGAAAGAGGTCAAGAAAAAAGGAAGAATACCCTGTTTTGGCTCCCATTAAATCAAAGAATTCTGCGCATTTGATGATGTTCCCAGTATCCGGTAACTAATTCAGTATCGGAAGCACAAACGAGACCACGTACCAAGTTCTAGTAATACCAAACAAATGTAACTTAGAAGCAAAACTCGATTCAGGAATCAGCTGAGATCCTTCAAATGCCCAGCATCCCATCCACACAACCAGATTCAAAACCATCAATCATCGATTTTGCGAACCCGACAACTTGGGAATGACAACACTTTTCTTAAAGCAGAATGCATGTTGCACATTGATACCCTTTAGCTTTTACCTTGCAATGAGACTACAGGGGACCATTTTAGCTTTTCCATCTAATCTTTTGCGAACTTAAAGAGAGCACCTTTGTCATAAGCAAAGAGAAAGGAACTCCTACAGAAAACAATACAATCTGTAGCCATTCGAAGCAAATTGCGCGCTTTTTGCTCTCGCGCTCACAGCAGTTCATTTCAATTTCCCTCCAATCTCTGTACACCAATCGAAGAACCCAAGAAAGTCAATCCCAATCCTCCCCAAAATCCCTCCGCCACCTAAAGCGATCATTCCCATTCATAACCCCAAACGCCGAAGAACACAAACCGGAAGAAGAAGAGCAGAAAAAACCATCACTCGAAGGAAACAAAACAGAGAGAGAGAGAGAGAGAGAGAGAGAGAGAGAGAGAGAGAGATTACAATTGAGCTCGTCGAGCCATCGGGAGACGCTGTCGAAGGTGCTGCGGCGACTGATGTCGTAGACGAGGAGGGCGCCGAACGCGCCGCGGTAGTAGGCGGAGGTGACGGCGCGGAACCGCTCCTGACCGGCGGTGTCCCAAATCTGGGCCTTCACCTCCTTGCCGTCGATCTCGAGGCACTGGGTCTGGAACTCCACCCCGACGGTGGCCTTGGAGTGCAGGTCGAACTCCCCCCGCGCGTACCGCGACAGCAGGTTCGACTTGCCCACCGCCGAGTCCCCGATGATCACTATCTTGAACAGGTACTCCTCCTGCCCGTCCCTCCCGCCGCCGCCGCCGCCCATCCTCGCTTGCTTCCGGCGGTCGAAGCTCTGGAATTATCGCCGGAGCTCCTCCGAGAGAAGAAGAAGAAGAAGGGGACAGGGGAGAGTGCGTGAAGGAGAAGGACATCGGGGGGGGAGGGGGACCATGTTTTAACGGTGGGAGTTGGATTGATTGGCCCGTGCAGCTTTTTCCGCCGACGCGCTAACTTCTCTACGCGCCAACCTCCCCAAACTTCTTCTCTCTCTAAATATAAATTGCAAATAGTGAAAAAGAAAGAGAAAGAAAAAAAAAAAAAGGAGGATTACTATTACATGTGAAATTATAAAATGGAATAATGACACAAACAGTCCCTAAACTTTAGTTCAATATGTAATTTGATCCCTGAACTTTTAATTAGTTTAATGTAACCCCTGAATTTTAGCCTAATGTTCAATGTGGTCCTTGAACTTTTAATTTGTTTAACGTGGTCCCTAGACTTTTGTTACATGTTTAATTTAGCCTCTGAACTATGTGAAAATGTTCAGTGTAGTCCCTGAACTTGAATTACCAGAAGGACTTCATTGAATATTTTTATATAATTCGGGGACTAAATTGAACATGTACCAAAAGCTCGAGGACGGTATTGAATAAATTAAAAGTTCAAGAACCACATCGAACATTAGAATAAAGTTCAGGAACTACGTCGAATAAATTAAAAGTTCATGGACCAAATTGCACAGTGAACCAAAGTTCAAATACTGTTTATGTCTTTTTCCCATTATAAATTAGAGTAGTCAATTGGGTTCGAAATGTCAAATTCGGATTATAAATTCACATCGAATAATGTCACTAGAAAATGGATATAGAAATTGGACATACTAAAAGAAAAAAATTATCTTAGATTTGTGTAGCTTTCGAGTTTTCGATATCCCACTACAAAAAAACGCTGGATTAGCGACGATTTTTGCGACGAAAAAAAAGGCAAAATCCGTCGCAAATCGCATTTGCGACGAAATTAGCGACGGAAAAAATTCCGTCGCTAATAGCTCGTCGCAAAAATTTGCGACGGAAAAAAATTAGTCGCAAACACTATTCGTCGCAAAATTCGTCGCAATTAATTCATCGCAAAATTCGTCGCAAATTAGCCACGAACACTATCCGTCGCAAATTTCGTCGCAAAATTCGTCACAAATTTAGTCGCAAAATTCGTCGCAAAATTCGTCGCAAATTAGCCACGAACTGTATTCGTCGCAAAATTCGTCGCTAATTGTCCGTCGCAAAATTCGTCGCTAAACGAATTTGCGACAAATTTTGCGACGGAAAAAAATCTGTCGCTAATTCGGCGTCGCAAAATTTAGCGACGGAAAATATCAATTGTCGTCGCTAATTTGCGATGAAAAAATATTCGTCGCAAAATTCATCGCAAAAAATTCGTCGCAAATTAGCCACGAACTTTATTCGTCGCAAAAAATTCGTCGAAAATTAACCACGAACTGTATTCGTCACTAATTATCCGTCGCAAAATTCGTCGCTAATTATTCGTGGCAAAATTCGTCGCAAATTAGCCACGAACTGTATTCGTCGCAAAATCCGTCTCTAATGTGCCACGAAATTTTTTTTTTGGTCTCTAAATTGCAACGGAATGTTTTTTTTTTTTTGGGTCTAAAAATTGCGACGAAATGTATCCGCGGCAAAATCCGTCGCTAATTTTTGATGGATTTTTTTTTTTTGGTCATTAATTTGCGACCAGCTGGTCCAGCGTCTGCCCCTCAACATTGACCGAGTAACTCCTTCAAAACAGATGCAAAGTTCAAAGCCTCCATCGTTCGGGCCACAACTGAAGTTCTTCATAAGAGTATATAATCCCCAGTAGAAACAGAGAATATATATGGCATTGGACGCTTTTATACGAATTGTACGAAGAGGGATAAAAGTACAACCGGACGAACTTCCGACCGGACGCCACGGGAAAACTGTAAGTAAAATTAGACGGGAAGATCCTCGCGGTCATGTACGGGGCTTGGGGCACCGAGGGGTCCTGCGTGGCGGCCGCGGCCGTGATCGAGTTCGCGGTGGAAGACGGGAACTTGGAACCGATGTCGGAGGTCCGCACCCGGCCATCGGTATCGGTGGTCTTCGGCCAACAGCGAGCCGCGATCCAGCTCATGACAGGGACCTGAACGAGACGGTCGATGGAGGGGGAAAAAAAACAACACACCCATCAGCTCGAACCTCCCCCAAGTTCCGAAATTTCACGGCAAGAAGAAGCAAACGAACAGACCCAGAACTCCAAAAGCACGCGGACATCGAAACAGCAGAAAGTCAAAATGCAACCTCCGGAAGCCCAAAGACAAAGAGCGGCTAAAAGAAACGAAGGGAGACACGTGGAGCTGCACCTTGATGGCCGATGATGGAGCGAAGAGGGGGGGAATGCGAGGATCTTACCTGAGCTGGAGCAGCGGAGAAGGGGGACAGATCGCGGCGATTCCTCGTTGGGTCTGAGGAGAGATCGCCAGGCTGCAGAGATCAAGAAAGAGAGAGAGAGAGAGAAGAAGAGGAAGAGGAAGAAGAAGAAGAGGGAGAAGGAACTGAGAAGGTCGGAGCAGAGGACGTGCGCGCGAGGAGGAAGAAGAGAAGAAGAAGAAGAAGAAGAAGAAGACAAGAAAAAGAAAAAGGAAGAGAGAGAAGGGGGCAAAAGGACAGGAGGGAATTTTTCTTTTTTTTTGGGTCAAATGGGCGGGAATTTTTTTGGCAAATTCGTCGCAAATTTGCGACGAACTAATTTTTCCGTCGCAAATTTGCGACGGATTTTTTTCCGTTGCAAATTTGCGACGGACTAATATTTTTGCGACGGATTTATTTTTCCGTTGCTAATTTGCGACGGAAGTGATCTTCGCGGCACATGGTGCCCATTTTTTCAAATCCGTCGCTAATTTGCAACGGAATTAGCGACGGAAATGTTTATACCGACCAATTTTTCGAATCCGTCGCTAATTCCGTCAGAACCTTGAGTAGATATGCTTCTACACTTTTACATACAATGACACATTACTCATATTTGACGAATTAGTAAATGTCATGATCTAATTCGTCTAAAGGCGGCAAGTCTGGTGATGTTTTTTTTTTTTCATTAGAGCAGCGGAGGAATGTCAAATAACTACGGGAGGTTGTTGCGAAATGGGACGAGAACATCTTAAGAGATTATCTAATATCTTGAGTTTATAATAGATCTTCTTATCTAATTTGAATTTGTAATATCTAATCTCTCTTAGAATTGGACGTGTAGCAAATCGTCCAATCTCGCGACGACCAATTTTCCGTCGCAAATTTGCGACGGATTTATTTTCCGTCGCAAATTAGCGACAGATATAAAATTCGTCTCTACTTTCGTCGCAAAATGGTAAATGTCGTTGCACAAATTAGCGACGGAAAATAATTCCGTCACAAAATTCGTCGCAAATTTGCGACGGAAAATTAGTCGTCGCTAATTTGCGACGGAATTAGCGACGGAATTAGAAATCCGTCGCAAAGTTTGTCGCAAATTAACGACGAAAAATTTCCGTCGCAAAATTCATGTTTTTTTTGTAGTGTCCGATTTCACAAATATTTGGCGGTTTCTGTTATTATATTATAATTATGGTGTCGCGACCTCGATCTGTCCCCACCTCACATGTCGAAAGCTTGCTCCCCCCATTATCTCGAGCCCCATGTGAGGTTGGGGCAGCGGCAAAATTTTCCTTTGGTGGGGCTACGGGATCCAGAGGTGCATAATTGTTATTACGGTATCGATACCTCAAATCAAAGGTATGTCATAGCATCACAACCTCAATCCGAGGTCCCCACAGCCACGGCAACCCTCGGCAAGGCAAGTTACAACTGTGAGTAAGAGATAGGGGAGATAGTGAGCCGTAGAGACGAGTTGGAGGTAGATCGAGAAAGTAATAACAGAGAACGGAGAAAGAGAGAGATACGGAGGAGGGAACTTTTTTTGTTTGTCTGTCCCACTCTAACTCTCAACTCACTCTCAAAATTTTACCCCATCTCTTTACAGAGCGTGCGAGTCTAGAACCATATATGAAACTAAACGTCCTCACCCCTAAGCCCTCTAAAAAAGTGGGAAATCGAACTTTCCAGGAGAAGAAGGCTCTTTTTTTTTTTTTTTTGTCTGTCTTATTTTAACTGTCAACTCACTCTCAGAATTTTACTATGCCTCTTTACAGAGTGTGGGCGTCAAGACCCACATCTGAAACTAAACATCCCCATCCCTAAGCCCTCCGTGAAGGTGGGGAATCGAACTCCCCAGGAGAAGAAGACTCTTTTTTTTTTTTTTGTCATACTTTAACTCTCAACTCATTCTTAGAAAATTACCTTGCCTCTACAAAGCATGGGAATCGACACCCATATCTGAAACCAAACGTCTCCACTCCTAATCCTTCTAAGAAGATGGGGAATCGAACTCCCCAGGAGGAGGGGACCTTGGTGGTAAAGTGAAAAAAAAAGTCGGGGCTGAGATGGTGATAGGCGGTGTCAGTTGAATGCCGAGACTACGAGGTTGTGGCCAGTAGTGAGGGGAAGGTGGGTGCACACTTAGCCAACGTTTGGTAATCGGGATAAAATTCAGGATATGATAAATTTTATCATATCCCGAATTTGGTACTTGCCTAAGATAAGATAAAGTCGGATATAAAAAGGATATAGTTCGGATAAAATTATCCCATGAGAAAGGTGGAATAAAGTTGGATAGAATTTCTAATATTCATAATATAAAAGTAATTTTTCTCAAATAAAAAACTTGTTAAATTAATAAATTAAAATAATATTTGAATATAAATAAAATTTGAATTTAATACAAAAAATTTTAAAAAATAAAAATAAAAATAATTTTGTTTTTATTTATTCTAATTTTTATTTATATATTCAAATTTCTTTCTATCTTATGATATAAATTTCATATATATAAGTAAATACATTTAGTATTTATATTTATTACATTTTTTAGGTGTATTAGTATAGTTTACTATATACTAAAATTTTATTAAAGAATGATGTAAGGGGCAAAAAGAATTAAAAGAGCGAGTAAAAAATAAAAAAAAATAAGTAAATAAAAATATAGTGTCGTGATAGATTTTTATTATCTTAGTTTGTGCAATTTTTAGGTTCATTTACACTGATATGACGTTCATTGCAAATAATGAACATTGTAAAATGTGAATATATTCGGCTTTATTCCTGCGATTCATCAGACAGTGAATAAAATATAGAAAATCCATTGGATTTCATATCTTATCTTATCTAGTCCTATCCTGGTTATAAATCCAAACGACTAAACGTAGCCTAGGATTTCGGGAAGGTGTCGGCCTAGGATTTCTTATTTAAGTTAGATTAAGGTAGGTAATTTTATAGTATTGAAAATAAAGCAATGTATTTTTGTCGTGGGATAGAAAATCTATGCATGTTTTTTTTTTTTAGTATTTTAAAGAAAGAGAGCCCACAAAAAATTTGCAGAGCCGTTCCATTGATTGGAGCGTGTGATGTCGACGGTGAGGGCGTGGGAATAGGAGTCAAGAGTGAAAAAGTGAGGAATGATGGGGACGTGGGGAACGGCAAAAGCACGCCAACGCATTTTCATGCACGCCTTGGGGAAGTTGCATAATTGCATGGTTTCAACTTTGAACAGCAATGGTGTTGGAACGATCACATGCAATGTTTTTGTTAATTCGTCGGTCGTATTTATTAGCTTAGTTAGAAATTTATTAGGATTAATACCACAAAAGACTCCAAACTGATACACCCGTAATAAATTTACTCAAAATTAAACCTCAGACTAGTACACTTGTGACAAATTTAATCTCCATTAGTTTCCTTTAAATTTTTTCGTCAAATTGCTGAATTGGATGATACGTGACAGTTGACGGACGTACTAGTTTGAGTTTTTACCCCTCCATATGTCATAGTTTGGGAGTAAATCTGTCAAAGGTGTACCGGTTTGGGGTTTTTGGTAGTCAAAAAATTAGTTTGTAAGTAAATTTATCATAGGTGTACAAGTTTGAGGTTTTTTCATGGTGTTAACCCAATTTATTAATGTAATGGTTGAAGTCATGCCAATTATCAATGCATTCTGGATGTCAAACAAGGCGTTGATCCATCTTTTTTTCAATTTGTACGTACGATCGTGCTTTGAATTAGGTTTGGAACATTTCTATCTTATGAATCTTCTTTTACGACGAAGAACCCATATTAAGTAAGTAAGCCTGAGACCCCATGAAATACCTCACCGGCTTTATAGGCCAGGTATGATGCGAGTTTAAACGAGGTGAGTGGTGCAAACATGGAATTGTTTGCACTTGACAACGTGGGAAATCAAACTTACGCAGTGCGTCTAATCCACACACAAGTTGAGTCTACTATCGGCATTGATTTACTTGGCCATCATCGACGGTCGTGTGCACATTGATGCAATTACACAAATGAGTTCTCTCGTATGTCAATCATTTTCTAGCGATCCTATGAATTAAATCTCTCCTCGCCTCGATGAAAACTCTTTTTAGCTTAACCATGAGTTGGAACAAGAAAACCATCCCAACCTAAATGGCACAGAGCTTGGAAATCAGAAGGAACAAAAGGAGAAGATGGTGACAATCAGCACCAGACTCAACACTTTGAGCAAATCTGGCTAAACCTCCTAATAGATTCGATAACTAGAAGATGAAGACTGGCAAATCATTGACCAAAATCTAAACCTAACAAAGTGACAAAGACAATAACTACTAGGGGTGTGCAATTGGACCGGTTCTACCCGGTAATCAAATCGAACTACCCTGAAACTGGACCGGTTTCATAAAGCTAAAAAAAGTAAAAACCCTAGTTTCTCAACCTCTTGGCTAAGGTTTTATATAAATTTATTGCAAATTCAAATATTTTGTTTGTTTTGTTTTCAGTTGGTTTAAATTTGGAACAATATTTTTGTGGATGACTGATGAGGGATGGAGTTCTATAATCTATGTTTTTTGTTATGTGTTTGAACTTTTTATCGTTTATAATTGTATATGACTACATGTTCATCTTATGAATTGTTGCTTTTGGCAGATAGGAATCTATTATTCATCTTTTTCTTTGAATCATTTTATCACTTATATTATTTTGCTGTAAAAAATGAAATAAAAAATTGGAACAAAAAAAACGGGTTTTCGGGTACCGGATAAAAAAAAACTATGTAGATTCTAGAACAGTTTTCAATGGAAACATGTTAAGTTTCAGGTTTCAAAAATCGGGAACCGATTCTATCAGGGCAGATAAACCGATCATGCCTAATAACTATTAGAATGCTCGATGAAAAGTAATTACTAGAAATCAAATTCAAACTTCATCGCCAACTTCAATCTCCATTGGACCAAATCCACACGACCACCACAAAGGCACAATCGCCTTTGTAAAACACGTGAAAATCTGTCGGCAACTTAAATGCCACGGTTTCGTAGATGCACGTCGTTGGTGGATTCCAGAAGAAGTACACAAAGTCGTGGCCCGAGGAGGACACGAACGTGATGATCCCCATAAATGGTTTGACGAAAAGTGAGAAGTTTCTGTTCATTTCGGGAGGTGAAATGTTGCGTGGCTCGAATCAAATCTAGTCTACACACACAAATAAAAATATCGTACAGACTCGTTTTATGAATTATATCTAATGCGTGATGCATTGCGTAAAAGTTACGGTAAAAGAGATGGAGATTTGGGTAGAACAAAAGTGCACTCCAGATATTTTGTAGTGCGCGGATGCAACAATACCCCGATTAGCTTCCCTTAGGACGTCGAACCATGACATGCCAATCATGATTGAGCAATGTCATCCAACCAAAAATGAAAGTATCTACATGCCAGAACCCCTTCGATTTCCATGGTTGGTAGAGGCATTGAGGGATTTACAACTCAATATCTGGAGGTCACTCGTTTGGATCTCACCAACTAAGTAGAAAATAATCAGAGTCAGAACCCAAAAAGTTGAACTTAACCGGCTGATGGAACTTGTAGGATGAAACCTGGTCTCTATGCCCATGCTTCTGAATATTTAAAAAAAATGGATACATGCAAGATTGTTGGCTCTTGACATCGAAAAGTAAATAAGTTGCAGTACTAGTGCTAGCTAGAAAAGCGGGGTAAACTTGAAACCATGAATTGCAATTTGCTCTTCTATATCTTGGTCCCTAATGAACAACCCTTCATTGGCCATCTTAAGATTTGGATTGGTGCATCATTTTTCTTGATACCCAGATTAGGATTATGAGTGTGAAGATTAGAACTAGAACATTGTGTCTTAGAGACATATTTTCCGAGTGTAATTTCTGAATTACCAATCCAATTGGAGAAAATCAGTGTCTCTAGAATAACAATCTTAAATATGACTTGCCCATATTGGCTTTGATTTACCTCGACTTTTTGCAACAATTTAAAGACAACTCATACTATGTATTAGAATTAATGGGAAGTGCCTTTTGATAAACAATTATTTACAAGGAGAAAGACAGGTCGAACCATCGGTGAGATTTGAACTCGCTCATTACTCAACTCCTCCATTTATAAATATTTGATTGAAAGTGCAACCACGCAATTGCCGTGACAAAAATTGTTTTGGTTGTCGCAGAGCAACACATGGTGGAGTATCTAAAGGAGTGAATTCAATTGGGAGCGAGGCAAAAAACGATGTACCTAAGGTTTGGGGTAGCCTATTTGGTGCAGCTTTTTTTGTAGCAAATACAGCTGCAACTTCAATAAGGCGTTCGGAGAACTCATCACAGCTGCAGTGCATGCCTTAAAGAAATAGCAACTTTTAGGTTTAGGAAGCTGTATTGTCTTAACTTTGAGGTTGTACAGTCTTGCAATGGGTATTACCAAACATACAAGTTATAACACTTTAGCAGTATGGCTACGTTGCAGCACAATCATAGCTATATATCAAACAAACATAATGTCGAACTTGAGGACATCTAACGCTTTCGTTCCCATCAAATAGAAGGTCAAATGGAGTTAGACTCCCCACTGCTCTTTCTGCATTTGTATTTCCTCTCTTTTAAATTTGTTTCTATTCTTTCTTAATCTAATTAAATTAAAAAAAATTGATTTTTCTATCATAATTGTTACTGGACTACTTGAAATTACAAAAGTCGAGGCATTTTTCCTCTTACCAATACTAATGGCTCGTGCGTGCCACATCGTTAGGTGTGTTAAATATGATAAGACTTAATGGTACAAATTATATAAATTAGAGAATTTCATTGTACAAAATAAAAGATATAAGTGCATGGAACATGCAAGATAAATATAGAATAATCCCCCTATCAAATTCTAATGCCCGTTGCCCTAAGCCTGGTCAGTTGACCATACTGGTTATTGTCCTTACACAGACATTCCCGCAGAACAGCCATCAGATAAACTTATCTCATGACATAGGAACAGATAGGTCTTAGGTTGGCAGGCAAAAATCTTAGTAGGCCCTGTTGTGTCGGTGATAACGTGCGGGGAAGGAAGACTACCTGATTGAGCTAAAGTCCAAAAGAGATCAAAATTTGCACCTCAAAACCACAGTAGAGAGAGAGAGAGAGAGAGAGGTGAGACTCATCGGAAGAAACCCTATTGACTTGCAGACTTGCACTTTCAGTTAATCAACATTGAAGCCCCCCCAAGTCCACTTTCACTGTTCACCACCAACCCCATGACCCACCACCACAAAAATTCACATTTTCTTTCTCTACCCTCCACTTGATTAGTAAATTAAAAAAAAAAGCATTGCACAGTAAAACCTAAACACCCACTATCACTAGTTACACAAACCAAATCATTAGCAGAACCAAAAAGGAGCTAAACATCTACTCCAGAAATGACACTAGATATGGTCAAAGCCAAATCAACAATCACACCCCCACTAAAGTACCTACTAGTTGGTACTTCTCGACTTTTCACTGTTGGAGGGCCTGGGGCTATATTGGCCATGGCCAAGTGAAGTGAATCCAAACTAGCAATCCCCGTTGCTGTCAGCAACTGCAGGCGCATTTGCATTGATCTGTGTGTGCTTTTTGGAAGAGCCCTTGGAAAGGTGGACTGGGTACTTGAGGGCATTGAGCTGCAGCTTCCTCAGTGCAGCCTCACCAAGATCAACGCCACATACGTCAGACAGCCTGACCAGGTATAGCAACACATCTGAGAGCTCCTCACCCAGGTGTTGTGTCTCTTCCTCTTTCCATCCAGGTAGTCCTCTTGCTACTTCGCCTCTCCATTGGAATATCTCAGACAACTCCCCAACTTCCCCAACCTTGAAAAACCAATCAATCAATTGTTTATGACATTAAGAATATCATTGTACCAAAACGTCGAGCAACTAAACTCACAAAATAAGTAAGACGATTTACTATGATCATCAGCTCACAGGCACAAAAAAAGAGAACCCTTTTTTGGTTTAATTCAAAACAAGTAGAGATAATATAGCTGATACGGAAGAACCTACAGAGTTTTTTTTTCCTTGTACCTTTGGGGTTGATGAAATCAAGTGGGGGCCTTAGGTCTCAATTCACAATGGACAGACAGGTAAATTCTTTCCTACCAGAATCTACTACGTTTTTCTGTGACTGAAATGTTGCATGTTTCAAGTACTGTGAGGGCTACTAGTACCTGTCCCAAATGCACTTGCTACAGTGGCAAAAAGGTGAAAACTCGTATAGCAAGGGCCCCATTCGTGAACTTAACCTAAGCTTCCTCCATGGGAGTTTCATAAAGCCACTTTTGCCCACGCCGTTCGGTCTTGGTCCTATCCTTTCACTTAATAGGTAGTGTTGAACATCTATCTCTATGCATTCAAATCAATCATATTAAATAAAACAATTTTTACTTGACAATTGTCTTAGATATATGGAAACACTGTACCATTCATCCTTCGAATGCATCTACAAATCCTTTCTATCACTTGCCACTAAATTACTCTTCCTTCGTACTATTAACTCAAAGGGTTTGCCATGCTAAAGTTTCTTTTCACCCATCATCCTCAAAGCCACATAAAAAGGGTCTAGATGTCACACACAAACGCTAACCAAGATCTACTCTGCTTCAGTTCTATGTAGGCGTGTCAATAAGCAAAAAACAAAGGAGAGACCCGACATAAGAAAAGACGGCCTAAAAGCTCCTATTCTGAATAACACGAGCTCAAAAAGACAATCTTGCAGAAACCCACTTTTCCAAGAGCCATCACACGAAAAAAGAAAGTGGCAAAAGCACACACTCCAATCGAAGAGCAGCACGGAATTACTTCAATCAAAGACAGAAGACGAGATTAGCGTTCTATCCGAAGAAAAAGCACGAGCCTTTGTGATTCACCAAGAGACAAAATTCAAAGCAAGAAGGGTTCTTTCTTCCTTCGTTTTACCAAGGCCAAGAGGAGGTTCCTAGGGCTGTGAAACTGGTCCCAGTCCCTCTCGCTCGCGAACTCTGCCATTCTCCTCTTCAGCTCTTCAAGGGAGACCCCTTTTTCTCCCATAATCTCTCTCTCACTCACGCTCTCCCCAGCAAAGAAGAAACTTTGGCACTGAGGCGATATGAAAGAGAGAGAGAGAGAGAGAGAGAGAGAGAGAAGCTTGCCTGCAACCTCTTCTTTTTCCTCTCCTGTACAGAGGAAAGAATATTATTTGCATAGGGCGGGCGACCGGTAACCGGGAATACCCGGTTGCCTGGTTGACGTGGACGCCCGTATGATTGACACGTGTGGCGATGGGGGGTCTCAGGCGACGACCACGGTTGGCTTGGGGATTCGGAGGGACCACTCGCCACCTGTTTCTTTTGAAAGCAATAGATAGCAATAGATATCCGAATTTTGCCTTTTCGGGAAATTCCTAATACAATATCTGGTCTTCCTTTTTTGTCAAGGGAGGAAAAACGGCGTCGCATATTGTATATATTAATTATGAAAGTCTTTAAATTTTGTGTTTTACGATTATGTATAGGAATTATGAAAGAAAGCAAGAAATTACGATAAGTCGCAATTACATGGTTAGTTGTACACGGGTGCATTCTCTTCTACCCAAGTTCGGTTCGAAAATTTTCGTGAAATTATACGCTTGAAATCAGTACACAAGGAATCGGTAATTTAGAATATGTTCGAGATCTTTATTAATCTCATGTGTCGGCGGACCTCGTGTTAGCGATGTGGCTCTATAACGAACAATTAGGTTCTCTTTGTTCACAGCACAAAAAAAGTTTGATTTTTCATATCGATGTATTTATCTTGATATGTCTTTAAGTGCTCTTCAAAGGTGGGTTCGGCCAAAAATAGAAGGCGTACTTACTTTAATAGATTTGATTCAAAGATAGGTTCCTCATGTCTATGAATACCCTTTTTATATGGTAGCAAAGGAGGACGGAGCCTTTAGCACACCGGTTGCCCTCTCCATAGACCCGAACCACCCGTAGAGGTGGGAAATTGAGGATCAAATTCCGTAGATTTGTTGATTTTCTTTGCTTTTGGAGAATGTCATCTTTGACCGGTTTGACTTCTTCTCGATGTATACAAAAGAAAGGGGCTCCCATATATTTTAGTCTATGCTAAAAGGCACACAAGAAAAGCAAATTGAATATTTGGTGGGTCCGGGTCAAAGGTAGTAGATTTGTTGACTCCTATAAAAGGAAAAGAATAAGGGCACACATAAGGGTGTGGATTCCTTCAATGAAAGAGGCAAGGGATAAGCAAAGAAAAGGAACGTATAGGACGTTCTTGCTTTCAGCCGAACGTACGTATAGCTCTTGCTTTGGGCTTGAACACTCGATGATTTGTGCGGTGAGCTTTACATCCAATTGAATTGTTTATTTATAACCACCGTGGGTTTAGGCTCAATCTAGGTGTGGAAAACATTCGAGTGTGTAAGCCTTGTAATTCTGATTCTCCGATTATTAGTGGATTATTTGCCGATGGCTCTCCCCGTGAAGTAGGTATCAACACTTGGATTGAACCACGTAAATCTCTAGTCTCATTCCTCATTTATTTCTCTGGTGATTTCGTGTTAATTTATTTGCAAGATATTAGAGCTTAGGATCATATTTTCGAGAGCAAAATTATCATTCCTAGTATCGTTCCTAGTATCCTGTCAGTTTCCGTGTTAATTTTAAAATAATTGATATTAGAGCTTAGGATCATATTTTCTAGATTTTGATTTGGGGCTTTTACTTATTTGAGATTTATTTAAAAATTATGTTGTTACAATTATGTCTAAAGCAAAAGTAGAAATTGAAAAGTTTAATGGGAGGAACAACTTTGGGTTGTGGAGTGTTAACATGCATGCGCTATTGACAACACAAGGTTTGGTCAAGGTATTGGATGACAAAGATGAGTTGCTAATTACAATGAAAGGGGCTAATAAGGTAGAGTTAATGGAGAAAGTAAAGAGTATAATCTTATTGAATCTATCAAATAAGGTAGTAATAGGGGTAGTTGAGGAGAATGATGCCGTAGCGTTGTAGGCAAAACTTCAAGCCCTTAATGTAACGAAGGGTTTGCACAATCGTTTATACATGTTGAAGAGAATGTTTCAGTTTATATACACTGAAGGTACATCTATCAAATCCCACCTAGATGAGTTTAATAAACTCATGATGAATTTAAAGAATGTTTATAAGATCCTAGATGATGAAGAACATGGCATGATGTTGTTAGCTTCTCCACCAGAGTCACGAGAACACTTTACTGATTCACTACGATTACCACAAAAGAGGTGAAATCCGCTTCGTTCTTTAAGGAGTCATAAAAAAGTTGTGAGAAGACAATTTGACGCAAGATGTAGTGCAAGAGAGATCAACATCGGGGGTCCAGTAGTAATAGAGATAAAAGTAGGTCGAATTCATACCATAGAAAGTCCAAGGAATGCATGTAGTGCTTCAAGTGTCATCAGGAGAGGCACATAAGGAGAGATTGTCTAAAGTTGAGAAACTGAGGCAGCAAGCATTATGTCACAAGCAGTGCGGTGAACATTGTCGAAGAAAGCGCTAGTGATGCAGAGGCCGTCTTGTGTATGACTTCTTATTCTTTAGGAGACAAATGAGTGCTAGATTCGGGGGGTTATTATCATATGATGTCTTCTAGGAACTGATTTACTACTTACCAAACTGCAGATGATAGTAGAGTTCTGATGGGAAATAACACAACCTGCAAGGTTGTGGTGATAGGAATAGTTCGGATTTGGATGCACAATGGGGTGGTGCGCACATTGACAGATGTGATACATGTAGCAGAGCTTAAGAAGAACGATATTTCTTTAGGGACACTCAATGACATCAGTGAAGTGTTGAAGGTCTCTTGTGGTGCCATGGTAGTGATAAAAGAGAAGAAAGTGAATACTCTCTATCATCTACTTGGAGAAACCGTGACAGGAGCTGTTGTAGTTTCATCTAGCGAGCTAGACTCTGAGTTGACTCAATTATGGCATATGCAGTTGAGGCACATGAGAAAGGTAGGTATGATGATCCTCAGTAGAGAGGGTTGTTCAAAGGTTACGAGACAGGGGAATTGGACTTATGTGAGCACTGTATTTTTGGAAAGAAGAATCGGATTAATTTCAGTATAAATATTCATTCGACCAAACAACTAGTTGAATATATTCGTTCAGACGTACAAGCCTCGTTTTCCGTTCCTTCGAAATGAGGTGCCTAATAGATGCTAACATTTATCAACGATTATTAGAGGAAGGTACATGTATACTTTTTGAAGTTAAAATCCGATGTGTTTGATCAGTTGAGGAAATTTAAGGCATTGATTGAGAATCAGTCAAATGAACAAATCAAGTGCTTGAGAACAGATGATGGCATGGAGTTTTGTGGTAAAACTTTTACCGAGTTTTGTTAGAGAGAAGGGATTGTAAGATACCGCACAGTAATTGGGACACCATAGTAGAATGACATCACATAACGTAAGAATAGAATTTTACTCAAGCAAGCTTGGTGTATGATTTCGTATGTAGAACTAAGCAAGGAATTTTGGGCTAAAGCAGTTACCTTGTTAATCGATCACTATTATTTGCTATCGAGTGGAAAACTCTTGAGGAAGTATGGTTAGGGAAACCTGTTGATTGCTCTGGATTACGATTATCCGTATTTTCTACATATGCTCATGTGAGTGATGGTAAGTTTGAGCCAAGGGCGAATAAGTGTATATTTATGGGTTATGTACATGGGGTGAAAGGCTACCAGTTGTGGTGCACTAATATCAGATCATCTGATTTTTAATCAGCAGAGATATGATCTTCAACAAGACTGCTATCCATCGATAAAGGAGTCTGGAGACATAAGAAGCAGAGCAGACAGATCATGATGTTAGTTGTACGGTAGAATTTTAGGTGGAGACTACGGAGACATGAGAGGTAATAGAGATTGAAACTCTAGATAAGGTTGGAGTTCCTAAAGTCGGTGATATTAAACAACTAGTAGGGTCGTAGCACACTATGGCCGTGAGCAGATATAGAAGGAAAATCAAACCATCAGTACATTATGTTTATACAGATATTGCTTATGCATTAAATGTAGGTGATAAGATGAAGACAGATGAGCCTTCATCTTACTTTAAGACGATGACTCACAGTGGCTAAGGGTTATAAGCGAAGAGATGAAATCACTCCACTGAAAATCAGACATAGGAGTTGGCAAAGTACCCAAGAGCCAAAAGATTGTTGGAAACAAGTGGATCTACAAAGAACGAAGGCATTCTTGATGTTGAGGCAACGAGATAAAAGGTATGACTTGTTGCGAAGGGATATACACAGCGAGAGGACATTGACTACAATAAGGTGTTCTCTATTGTGGAAATGTACACTTTTATACCTCAGTTGTTGCATAGGATCTTAAGCTGAAGTAGCTAGATGTGAAAACGCCGTTTCTTCATAGTAAGTTGGAAGAGCGAATTTACATGAGACAACTGGAGGGATTTACTATTCCGGGTAAGAAAGACCATGTTTGCTTATTAAAGAAATCTTCATATGGGCTGAAATAGTCTCCTAGGTAGTGGTATAAGTGTTATGATGCTTTCATGGCTAGTCAAGACTATTCGAAAGGTCAGATCGATAGTTGTGTTTACTTTAGGAGATTGGATGATGGGTATTTGATTTATATGTTATTATATGTTGATGACATACTGATAGCAACTAAAAATATGTCTAATTTTGATCTGCGGAAAATGTTATTGAGTGTTGAGTTTGAGATGAAAGATTTAGGTAGTGCAAAGAAAATATTAGTTATGAAGCTTTTGTGTTATATGACTGCAGGAATTTTATGTCTGTTTCAAAATATAAATATATATTTATTGAGAAGATTGTGGCACGTTTTAAAATGCAATCGGCGAAATCTGTGAGTATACCATTAACGAAACACTTTAAACTTTATGATAAGTTATCACCGCAGACTGAGGAGGTGGAGGAACGCATGTCCCATGTTCCTTATTCCAGTGCAATGGGTAGTATTATGTGTGATATGATATACACTAAGCCAGACATTTAATAAGCTGTAAGCGCAGTTAGCCGTTACATGAAGCATCCTGATAAAGCCTATTGAGAAGCTGTGAAATGGATTCTCAAATATTTGATGGGGACAACAGATGTTGGTATAATATATAAGAGGCACGACAAAGATAGCGAG